TGGAGGTATCGCGGCGACGGCTGGGCCAGCCGGCCGGCCGCCGCTCACCTGTCCTGCTGGGCGGCTATCTGCCGGCCGCCGAGTGGCCGCTCAATTAGAGGACGAGCCGGGGCGGCGGGCAGTGGGACAGACACGGCCTATCGTCGCGTGATGGCCCTCATACAGCGCTGATCACTGCCATTGCGGCCGGCTGTTGACGGCCCAAACATAGCCGGCCGGTCTCGGACGCGCGGCCGCTTCCCGGTGCCTCCTCGCCCTCACGACCGCCCGTCACACTGCGTCACGGTCCGCCCGCCGTCACAGTGTCGCTGACGTCACCGGCTGGGGAAATTGGACAGGTGTCGGACAGGTCACACCAGGGAAGATGGCTGGTGTTGCGCACAAAACAGATAGGGGGACACACCCGCCATTCAACCGCGATTGCACGACGATGAATCACAGGTTAATCTGATGTTAAAATGGTCAATGTAATTGGGAGAAGCATTCAATAATTCTATCAGAGCAATACTAAATCACACTTTATAGAACATTCTTGGAACTTCAGCTAAAACGCATAGAGATCTTATATACATTTTTGTATATAAGATCTCTATGCTAAAACGTATTGGCCACTGCGTCCAAACGTAGGTAGGTAAGCTCGATAACGGAAGGTAACAGTATGACGAAACTTAGCCAATTGTGTTGTTAGGTCAGTCGGAGACTACATGCCACATGCAAAAGAGAAAAGAGCGACACACAATTCACACATCGTCCAACCTTCAGCGCTTCAATGGATGAAACACTGCGGTCCCGCACCGTAGGCTGTGCCGCATAGCCTACAGACACTGCGGCACAGCCTATATCGTTCTACCAAGAAAGGACGAGGAGCTGATTATGTAAGGACATATTTGTGTTATGAGGTTATCGGTGGAGTCAACAAACAGTAAAGGTATAACCATAGTGTATAACTATGGTATAACTAAGGTATAACTATAAACAAACAACTAAACAGTATTTTCATTTAGTTATTTGTTGGCTCCACCGATAACCTCATAAAAAAGGACGAGGACCCTGTTCAATGTCTTAACCTTTAAGTCAGTGATATGAAACAGACCTAACAAAAATATACAGACGATGCCGCATCGGTGGATCCAGAAAGGTGGTTTGTAGTGCTACATGGACATACCCACCAAAGGCCCTCTTATTCTAAAAAATATCGTCGCATTTTGGTCCCTTACGTAATTCGCATTGCTGTGGCCTGTACAGTGTACAATGTGCGGTTTAAAATGAGCTTTTCCAAGGATAATTGTTTGTTTGCCCTTAAAAGAGTGTGAGGAAAACGACAAAATGTTGTCAATATCGGACTATGCAAAAGATGCAACTGTTCCAAATACCAAATAGGGGATGACAAGCGTCCAAGCATCGCTTCAAAGATCATTCAGATGTCTCAGTAATATGTGAAAACAAAACGGGTAGCCTTATTCATGCAGGGTCGTGATAAACACTCTCAGTTAATGGTGTTCCGCCAGGCTAAACATGACAGCGGAATACGAAGTATGCAATTTCGTTGATCCTAGCAAGTGTAAACCATAGTCAGCGTGGCTGGGAATAAAAGCTCAAAGGGAATACAGGCTTGTGCATATTATAAACATAAAACGACATGGTGTAAATGCGAAATCGATCATCAACGTCAGACAACGTCCACTGTGCTTACAGTCCAGTTTTTCTCAATTTCGAATCGCTGTTAGAAGAAATACAGTTCATAGTGGTCAGTGGAACCGCATTCTATCCACATGACTGTGTTTGTAATTAAGATAAGAGTAAAAGTTTATTCGTTAAATGTGTTTGTTAGAGGTGACAGCTCAGCAGTACCCAATGTTACATAAAATAGTGCGATTTTGTTGTACCGTGTATAATTTTACATAAAATACGTGAGCCCCCCCCCTCCTCTCTTTCTCTCTCTTTCTCTCTCTCTCTCTCTCTCTCTCTCTCTCTCTCTTTCTCTCTCTTTCTCTCTCTCTCACTCTCTCTCTCTCCCCCTCTCTCTCTCTCTCTCTCTCTCTCTCTCTCTCTCTCTCTCTCTCTCTCTCTCTCTCTCTCTCTCTCTCTCTCTCTCTCTCTATCTATCTATCTCTCTCTCCCGCTGAAATTGCGGTTGCAACTTGCAGGGCACAGATTGACGCACACTGCACACATGCCGACGTGGTGGTGCTGCCAGTCACGGGCTCCACGTGTATTGCGCGCTGCCTACCTCGCAGGCGGCGTTTTGCCGTTGTTACCATGCATAATGTGTATTGCGGGTTGCCTATCCCGCAGGCGACGTTTCGCCGCTGTAACTAGAATGTGTATTGCGGGTTGCCTATCCTGCAGGCAACGCTTCGCCGCTGTTGTTCGGGCGTGTGTTGCAGGATGCCTAATTGCCTACCGAACGGGCAGTTACGGAGCTTCAGGTAAAGTGCATATTGCGGGTTGTTGCTAATCGTTTGTCTCACACCTAAATAAGCGTGTTTTCTAGTTTGCCAAATGGCTAGGTCGTGTATCACTGCACTGGTAATCTTCTTGCTAATACAAGTATGTATTTTGTGCAGCCTCACTGTACAGGTGACGCTTCGATAATCAATCTGACTTATAGCCTAATTTATTACGTTACCTTCTAGCTAAACGACAGCTTGTTGCGGCCCCTCGAGCTTTCACTTATCTGATATGAGCCTTTCACTACACGAACGGTGTATGTGATATTTCCTCCTTAAAAAAGACAGCACTACAGTTCACTTTCTTTTCTTCCTTCATCAGACTAGTGTATCACATGTATTTTAATTCACGGCTGGATTATAATAGTATTGCACTGCAGTCACCACATTTTAATAAATGTGAACCCTTGCGATTGCGGCCGTCCTTTTCAAGCAGCCACCTGTGACCGCCGATGACCTCGGCCGACCGAACTGAGCCGGGACGCTGGCGGAGTGGACTGCGGTGTCGCAGATCCCCCCGATACGGCGCGTCCCCGCGGCCGCCGGCCATTGTCCGAGGTGACCGGGCCCTCCTGACCGGCTCCAAGGAGGGTCCGATTTGGACGGACCGGATTCAGTTCACCAGTCACGAGCGGCTCGACCAGCAGGAATCACGGCCTGCCGCGCTTCGTTGGCGCTGCAGAATGTGCGGATAATTTAATAGAGGCAGGCAGCTCCCAGAATACCCGTCAGGTGTTAGATTTGGGGATGAGAAAACGAATATACCAAAGAAAGTATTAATAAAACTGTTCTCCCTGTCAAATTGAGTTCTATCAAAGTGGGAGAAATAGCGGTGTTTCGTCTAGCTCCACTAGCAAAACGTTTTGAGACTTAGGTGTCGAAATGCGCTGTAATTACAAACGTGGTAAGCTGTGTTCTCGTCTCGCAAAAGCGTAAATAAATTTTATGATGTGCTACAGATGTCAAAAAAACTTGTTTTTGGCGTTGCAGGTGTGGTCTTAAATGTGCCGCCTTAAAACGTTAGACGAAGCGATTTTTTTTTTTGGTTTGTGGTGGAAGAGAGGAACTGCTGAGTTTCCATGAGTGTAATGGAAGTCTGGCTTGGGCTTGGGTTCCATTGTTAGGTCGTTTTTTCTGAAACCTGAGACCACTTTTATCAACAGGAAATGGCCAGCCGCGCCGTTTTGCGTTAACTCGCCCTCAAATTTTGTCAGCTTCGCCAAAAAGTAACCGCTGCTGTAAAAATGAAAACCGACAACTGTGACGATGTTTTCACTTCGGCGGTTATCTATTTTTCTCGCGCGATTAGTTAAAGCTGTCGAATGGTTTCATAAATAAACAGATCGGCGGCTTGCGCTTTTCTATTGTCAAAGTTGGCATCAGAGCTGAAGATCGGAAATGGATCATGATATGATGTTTCCCTATGTATGATATTTGATCTTGGCTTTGCGGATGTGTGTCGGTAGGTATTGGATGGTCGGGCTCGGGTCGTCGGCGTGAGATATGAGTCAACCATGTGTTAGTGAGCAGGGAAGATTTTTTATGATTAGGTACACGGAAGAGGATAGGACTAAGCATCAAGCCCTGGACCACGCCGTGGGTCAATGGAAGGGGATCGGAGGAGCAGCCGGTCACTGTTTGTGTCCCATCTTTCAGGTAGCTCCTTAACCAATCCAATTGCACTCCATTACCACCCCAGTTTGTCTAGGATGATATCGTGATTGGCACTGTCCGAGGCCCTGCTGAGCTCGAGAGGCGTCTGCGACGCTATACAAGACCAGCGTCGATCTGCTGTGATATCTAATGGACAGCGTCGAGTTAACGTCCTCCATGGAATAGGCCACAGCTTCGAACAGATAAAATTTATAACGTGGCTTCTGACGATGTCCACAGATAATCCCGGATGTAACACCGGGCAAGTGGCTCAAACCGTGCTCACACTTCTGCGACTGGCGGTAGAAGAGAAACGACTGTTGGTATACAGTTTGCGCCTTGGTCATCTTGTATTTATTCTTTTTGATAACTAGCGGTTGTTTGAAGTTGAATTCTGTTCAAAACGATCCTGAACATGACCATTTCAACTGATCGAAATTGAATCCTGTTTGTTATGGAATAAGTCATGGCTGGGGCCCTGTAAACCATATTCACCTTGAAGCGCTAACATAAACGTCATTCTCTGAACCGACTAGCATACGGCACTAATGCTGCAAGTGTATACAACCGTATGACGTCCTGAAAGTGGCTGTTTTCTGCAGCTTGTCCACTTTAATGCAACACATTTCACTTTGTAATGTGTTGCATTACCAGAACCACTGTGTCAGTTCCGGTCATTTCGGCGTTTGCATGCATGTTCAATGTGTGTACTTATCACCAATTGATCACCATTTGAACTATTACCAACAAAACTGGATCCATTGTTACCAAATATGTTTCTGGGAATAACTCAAACTACTCCTATTCCTAGAAAACTGCCGTCATTACATGTTTTATCCCCTGGCTGGTTATGATACCGTTTGGGGCCGTGGGTGGGGTACCGGCCGGTACGGACCCGGCCCGTGGGCGGCCGCTCTGCGCTGTTGTACGTCCACGCGGTGTGGGTGGCGGCCGGCCGGCGGCGGCGCGCGGCCGTATAAGGTCGGCGCCGAGCCTCTGCGGTCACAGTCGCGCTCCGAGCTGCCGCCGTCCACACCGCAGCCATGGCGAGTCTGTCCTGCTCGGCTCTGCTGCTGGCCACAGCCCTGGTGGGCCTGGAGGCGCGCCCCTACAAGGACCAGCAGGTGAGCAGTAGACACACACACATCACATCCCTCTCTGAACGCACTCCGAAACACCAGGAATCTCGGTAGAGTTTGGACAGGTTGAATGCCACCATTTAGGGTTGGGACCATTTCTGAATATGTTATTTATCTATTTACCTATGTATTGATATTTATTTATTATTAATATCAATGTAACACTATTTTATCGTAAGTTTTTACATCAAAGAAGTAGGCATAAAAAGCAAGAGTTTAAATGTACGTAATGGAAAACGGCTGAAGACAACACCTGATAGACCCCATTTTCGGTGACTGTTGGTATTTGTGTTTTGTATGTTTTGTATCCAATTCGTAGTTATATGATTTTATTTGGCTTAGATGCGACTTTTTGATTCAGTTCCCGTTCAGTTCACCTACTGTACCAGAAATTGCAACTCTCCCAGTACTCAATAGCCCACCACAAGTGAGGGCGTTTGATCTGGTAATGGATTGTCTCATTAAACGTAAAAGCCCACTTTCCGTATTTTTACTTTTGCTGAAAATGATGATCGAAATGATACGGGAGAAAGCTCTTGCGATACCTGCTTAATCTTGATTATTAGAAGCCCTTGCCAGAAAAACGCCACAAGAACTGCAAAACTGTCTTTGGCATCAGCACCATAGGCTGTTTGTACAAATCTAACAAATTTTTCGTTCACAGCTCATTCAAAAGTCACAAATCCAACTGTACAACAAACAGTACACCCATCCACCCACGTTAGATCATTTGGAACGTCCCACGGCTGTCTAAGGTCTGAAGTCGGTCCAACCAATCACACTCTACGGACGGACGAGTGTCCGCGAGTTGGCAGATCAGCCAACTCCGGCCGTCACCGGGCCAGGGTTCTCGCCGTTCGGTCTCGGGCCGACTAGTCTCACACAGTGCGTGCATCTAGAGCTATTCGGTAGGTTGCACGAACGCTATTTTACAAATCAAATACACGTTAACCATACTTGCTAGACAAATTTATCAATACTTTGTGAGTGTGTTTGCGTGACGGTGCTTTCGTGCTGTGCATATTTACATTTCATTTGCCCAAATTGCTTTCATACCTGTACCATGGTGCGCACGTCCCATTTCTCCAGGTAGTGATGGGATGGGGTAGGGTGGGCGACGCTGAGGGGCCATGACTGGGCCATCGGACGCCGGAACTGGGCTGACGTCGCTGTTGGCCGCGATGAGGTGACATTTTTGGCGCACGGGCGCCGGTGCCGGCAGGACGGCCAGTTCTGAGCGGCTGAACTGACCGTCTGTGAGCCCTGGTGGGCTAAAGACAGCTGAGTCCCGGCCCAGCCGGTGTCCGAGCCATGCTGCCGTTAAAACCTCTGACAATGCACCTATGGATTAAACATGCCGAAAAAGAGGCATATAGTAAAAATTGAATATGCAGCCTGTGAACGCGGTCCTGTAGTCCGGTGGACGCGGCTCTATAGTCCAGTGGACGCGGCCTTGTGGTCCGTGGGCGTTGAAAACGGCTTGACTCGGTTCTGTGTCCTATGGACTCGGCTCTGTATCCGGCGTACGCGGCTCTGCGGATCTGTAGCCGATGAGCGCGGCTCTGTATCCACACGACTCCCCCAGGTGTTTGACCGGGGGACGGGTGGGAGGGAGGGAGGCCACCCCAACCCGTGTGAGTGGACGTGGGAGCCAGCGCCGGCGGCTGTGTGACCGATGGGGTCCGGCTCTGGTCGCGCTGGTCCGTCCCACCGGCCGCGTCCGTTTGTCCTCCCACCGCCCGCGCGGTGGTGAGCCATTCAATGCCGCTCAATGTGGTATAGATACTCCCCCGTCCACCAGCTAACAGAGCATTGATCCGCTCGATGCGTGTGTAATGCGGAAAACGTTTTAAAGTTACTTCTGCAATCTGCACGGTTAGATTTATGTGAAATTTCACATGGCAGGAGCATATTCAAAGCGTGGCTTTCAAGCATTTGCACTCATGCTTCGCTCCTCTCACATCTCTGAGAAAGGCACATACGCAAATAGAAAGCACATGATCGGAAGAAATACATCATATGCAATCTAACGAATAAATCATGTACTTGCATGTACTTATACATGAAGTGCGCAGGTATAACACATGCGAATAACGAAGAAATTATCAAAAAGACAGCAACCTGTTTGGGCGAGGCGTCAGAGCAGTGCAACGCCCGTCGCCCGTCCGTCTCAGTCGAACCTTTCAGTCATGGTATGCTGTGCCGCACGGCACGCGTGTACGCCGGCGCAGTCTACCATGCCAGAGCGACGGCCGGAGCCACAGCACTGCATCTGAAACGAGGCGCGTGGGGAGGTCGAAAAACTTATTTGCTGCAGCTCAGCATAAAATTGCCCTTTCCTTTTGACAAGAGACAGCATTCCCATCTACGTTTATTGATTGTACGGTACTAAAATGATTCATAACTAACAATTATATGCTTTTGCTGGTGCAATTCAAACAAATGTAAACGAAAAAGTGGGCCGTTCTCATTTTCCAGACTGGTAACGTTGTAGAGTTATAAGTCCATTTTCCACTTCTATACACCAAGCACAGCCGTTACCGTTAAAGCATTGTCAATTTTCGGCGCTGCCTACGGCTAAGCCATGTTTAAGAACTTTGAAGGCGACAACTCGCCGTGGAGTGAAGTACCGTTTTAAGTGTTTTAGGTGTTTTCAGCTCGTAGGCGGATGGCAAACATTGCCTTCATCCCCTGGTTTCAAGGCACTCTATTTCACCCAAAGTGTATTAGAACTTGCCCGCAGGGTATTGAGGGAGTGCGTCTCCGGACAGCGGCGCTTAGGCTGATCGGAGCCGTCGCCGATAGAAAGTTTTCACACCGATAGCATCTGTGGACGACGTTGCACACGTTTTCGTCCTGTTTACCTCGTGTGGATGCTCCGTGGGGCTCCAACTTTTGGCGCGGCACATCCCGCGGACAGGCGCTCTGGCACGGAGTGGCTGACGGGAGAGTAGGTGGGAGGTAACAACCGCAGAGGGGAGCGGAGGGAGCCGGCAGATGACTGCGGCATCCTGCCAAGCCAGGACGAGTAACAAACCCCGTGGAAACGACCCCATCACGCTGTGCATGGCATGAGCTCGTTTTCATGAAGTGGAATGGCTTCTGTGACGGACGGCGAGCGACTCATAACTCGGTCTGCAAAGTGACCGCGCTCAGCGAGCACATTCAGCCGCAAATGGCCGGCCGGTGCCGACTGCACAGCACACATTGTCGCCGGCGGGCGCCGCATGAATTGCATCCGCCAGCCGCGCGACAAACTGCCGGCCATCAGCGGCAGACCTATCACAGCGCCTGCCGCGGCTATACGGCCATCAGGCCGAGTAACGCGGCTCTGTGATGTGACACGTCATGCATTACCGGCATTACCGCGGCACTCAGCACGTCATATCACAGCCAGTGGCGTCGTCAGTACCACGGAGCTTAAGGCCATTTCCTGTCACAGTTTCAGAGCGGCGTGATCTGTCTGCACAAGTTAACCTCTGCCTGTAAGGTGTTTGTGTCACTCAGATAACTCATAAATGTATGTAAGAAGCGTTGACAAATCGGTAGGTACTTGAGCGTTCGATTAACGAATTGCAGCTATTCAGATCAGTGACCAACCGTTTTGTAGTCGCTTTTGGCACAGCTGCCGACAGCTCTGTCAGACCGAATGATGAACTGAAACGCAGCTGACCATGGTGACTGTTCTGTGTTCGTTTTTCGGCAGCTGTCTGACCGGGGGATCGACTCTCTGGGCGGCGGCCACTTACTCAGAGGCATCGACTCGCTGGGCGGCGGCCACCTGTTGAGGGGAATCGACTCTCTCGGCGGAGGACACCTCCTGAGAGGAATCGACTCCCTGGGCGGAGGACACCTGTTGCGAGGAATCGACTCTCTGGGAGGAGGACATCTGCTCCGGGAGGCGGACTCCCAGGGAGGACGGCGGCACCTCTCCAACGTCTACACACAGAGGCTGATCGACTACTATAGTAAGTACAGGTCGATGGAGCCAATGGTGCGAGCCGCGAGGGCATTAACACTTGTAGCTTAGTACTGACAAATGTGCAACAAATGTGTGGCTGTAACTGGGGAATGGTTAAACATGGGTGGGCCACGTGGGCATTTATGCATCCATCACTTTGGTACTGAGGCAGCAGACTCCTAAAACGAGCAAAGTTTTCATGAGTAGCTCCGATCAAGCCATCATAGATCTTCAAAGAACCATAGCTCGGATGTCAAATAGTTCTCAACATACTTGCCTCACAGTTAGCATTAGACTTAGAATTCAGGGTAAGCTGCTGGATCTCGCACCGAAAAAGGAAACCTAAGGCGCTGGGTCACTGACCAGAAGATGCGGCGCTAGGCCAGACTGACAGTACCGGAAGGCTAGCAGCTGTTGGTGAACATACCGCCGCGGTCATGATGGGGGCGACTGCGCCCCGCGGGACACATCCCTCTCAGATGAGACGGCCGGCTGTGATCGGAATTGGGACACGCCCACCGGCCCCTGGGGCGTCTCTGTCGACCGACCCGGTCCGGGGCAGAGGAGACGGGCGAGCCCGGACCGCCCGTACCCCGTCCCAGAGCGACCGCCGGCTGCGAGCGCCGCCCCTAACCGAACTCTGGCGAGCGCCGCCCGTAACTGAACTCTAGCTGTGAGCGCCACCCTCGCTGAACTCCGGCTCAGTGTGCCGGGCGGGAACCGCGTGACCTGCCGCCTGCCCGCGGCGACGGCCGGTCACCCGCCGCGGTCAGGTCAGCGGGAGCGGACCTAGCAGTTTGCCTGTTTTCCGTCGCGCTGGTGGTCTGCCTGCAGGCCTGGGATGGACCTAATGGGCCCCAATCTGATAGCGTCCGACCGGCGATTGGAGATCGCTCCCGGCCAAGGCGGACGGGGCCAGCGGCGATGGTCGCGCTCGGAGTCCCACCGGGCCCGGGGCCTGGTCGGAGGTCACCGTCCCCAGACAAACAAACGGCTCACTCTGGCGGTCTGTCGCGCCTTTCTGAGAACAGTGCTGGCGGAGTTAGGCCTGTGGCAGATAGCTCGGGAGTCGGTGACCTCGGAGGAGCTTTTTATGCGACTGTGACACGACCCGAGGACTGTCGAGTCAGCGGATGGCAGTCGGCGGCTCGAGCCACGCCTCTACCTCATTCGCCGCCGTCTGTAGATGCCGGTCGGTCGCCGGCGGGCACGGTGCGACTCTTCCACAATGGGTCTCAGGTGTACCGACATGAAAATCCTTCCATTGCTGCCGGTACCGTTCACAATCAATTCTGAATTGTGCGTCGTGTTTCCGATGTGTTTGCGCTGTGTCTCCGGTATATCTCAAATGTGTCTCACTGTCGGGCCGGTCGGGTCCGCGCGCTGCCCTTTGGCTGCGCTCAGGTGCAAATCGAGGCGATACCGCATCGGTCGAGCGCTGGTCCCTGCGGCATCCCACTTCGCCGTCGGGAGGTGACTTTGATTACAGTGCTGCACATTAATGATCTCATTACTGGTGCTCGGTAAGGATCGTCCGCATTGGAACATCGCCGCTGACGCAAAAATGTTCGCTGGAAACAATCCTACGTTGACAAATGTAAAAGTCGAAATGTATCTGGCTGAGTTATCAAGATTGTAGTCATAAAATTCGAGGCTCAAATAATAACACATATGGGATACAGTATAATCGAAACAGATGCATGCTCGCAATCACATTTCACTCATCAAGCATATTAACGCACAATGCATATTTGATGTCGCTTGCATAATTACCGGGCTTCACAATGACCTGACACATATCACGTGCGAAATCAAAGGATCATCTCGGAAATTGACGGGGAGTTCATCACCCTAAAGAGTATTTCTAAATTAGGATAATTTCGCGGTATTGGCTCCCTCAGTGCAGCGTTTCGCTCTGGGTCGTTTTGTCGGCTGACGTCTTCGTAATGCGCCATTGCTCCGGCTCTGCACCGAACGCACCCTCACGTGTCACGTGGCAGGGTTACGTGCCGCGCACCATCACCATTGGGCAAAATTACGGCCGGGAATCGAGGGCACACCATATCAGGGAATGACTGCACCGAGAATATGATTAATTAGGTCAGCTATGCGAAAAATGAATGCCATGCATACTACATATATTAGACGATTTTAGTTCGTTCCTTTAATTCTGCTTACTGAGATGTAATCATGTTGATTGATGGTGAAAACTAGGTACTAGTGTGAGACCTAATATGCTGTATATATTTCGAATATCTTCTGCACTCGGGTCTGCTTATCTTAGTGAGTTTTCTAAGCTAATGGGACTGTAGTTTTCCCGTGGCCCCTAGGATCAACCAGGCTTATGATGTCCGTGTTGCCCATTGATTTTTGTAAATGTGAATATCTGGCAGCCATTTACGTCCTTCGCACGCAAGCACGTAATGCGTGTCATTAATCCGGTGCAGCATCTAATTGCATTGCATGTGAGGCAAAAGAAGCCCTTATATCATTTAGAGCATATACGGGCTTTTACAAGAAATTCGGTTTTGTTACGAATAACCAAGATACCGGATTCAAAGTAATGGATTGGGTAGTACATACAGCCCAGAGAGATCCTCCATATGCGGTCGGGATTCCGGGAATGTATTTTGGATAGCTAATGCTGTGGCATGTCGACGCTCATTGAAGTAAGTTCAGTGCGTCCATGGGTAATGCTTTTGACCCTCTATTCTTAGCAGCTGGTGAACTTGGGGCGGAGCTTCCTATACAGTTGGTGGGGCGGCTGCAACACCAACTTGTCATTTTGCGGCCACCAATAAGCGCTTTACCTCATCAGCCTTAACTGACGTGTAGGACTTTATTGCAATGCAAATAAATATGTCTCTCATTGAGGAGGTTTGGAATGTCTATGTAATACAAAATATTATATCAGTATTGGTAGAGATTGATTCAGTGTAGCAGTTAATTCAACTTGACAACCGGACATTGTAGGTTTGACGACTTTTGCCCCACGAACTTTCCTGCAAAAGCTCCACCCCTGTTGTGGACTTTTCGACTATCAGCTTCTTGTGTAACTTCTAACAGCTCTTGCTCTTGGTTATGTGCCGAAAGTTGGATCCGGTATCTCCTTACTAGTTTGGTTCATCAGTTGTACGAGAAACACCAGACGCTAAGAATAATGAGTGTTGGTGACCTCTTCACTGCTCTTGGACGGTGCTCTCAGTTTCACAGTTAGCAGCACAAAAAGTGGTATCGCGTAATGTCATGTTAGGTGCCGATAGTGCCTGTGTCTGTCTTACATGGCTATCCAGAGGTTGGTGTATGTACATAGGTATGCCTTTTGTCCTTCTGAGTCGACTCTCCTATTACCATACCTTTCCCTCAGACAGCTACACATGAACGGGACGACAAGGGATTCGGACGCGTCCCTTTCTTATCTCTCGCCCTTTCCCCACAGCCACCCGGGGATGGAGGAGCGGGTGTCCCATTCTCACCCTTCGGTTCTCACCCTTCGCCCTGTCCCAAGGACAGCCACCCAAGAATAAACCGTAAGTGTCCCTAGCTTACCCTCTCGCCTCTGCCCCACAGACAGCCACCCGGAGGCTTACGACCGGGAGGTGCGCGCCCTGGACCCGCTCAGCGGCGTCTCGTTCGGTGTGGAGAAGCGGCTCGACTCGCTCAGGTGAGCTCACAGAAAAACGTAAACTTCATTGGAGAACAGGGACCTATTCCTTTCCCGAGGCGGCAAAGTCCTTGGAGTCCTTGAGTCCGAGAGGCCTTGGAGATAATAGCCGTTTTCACGACGGGCTATCCGGTGAGTGCACCTAATTTGACCAAATCTGCACCTAACCTCTTTTGCAGCAAATATCTTTATTTAATGAATTTATTTCCGTGTTTTAATCTGCGTTGTCATATTCTCTGATAATATGACAAGGCAGACATATAAGCAATTAGTGCAAACCTAGCTGATCGCTACTAAGAGACAAACTGAACCTAATTTGACCAAATTTGCACCTAATCTGCCTGCCACCTAATCACCTAATCTGCACCAGATGTGCACCAAATGTGTACCAGATGGCCGTCGTGAAAACGGTTAATAAGTGCGCTGAAGGGTTACAGCCATCACTCTCTACCGATTACAGCTGATGTTGCGGCAGACTGACATCTGCTCTTCCCGTGACCCCCGCCGTTCCATGACCTGGTCTCTGCCCATCCTGTGACCTCTATCCGTCCCATGTCACCCCCTCCCCCCCCCCCCCCGCCGCCGGCCGGGTCACCGCAGTGTCGGCTTAATCAGCCGTTACGGGCCATCGCAGCGCCCGTAAACGCTGCGATTGATTGTCACCGGCCCCGATCGGGAGAGCACCGGACAGTCTGAGGACACTGGGCGCCATCAGACCAAACACAGCCGCATGACAACGGCGACAGGGGAGAGCACCGAGCTGCGCGTGTCTAATGACCGCATACAGCTCTGTCAAATAATAAGATCGATGAGGATGTTGATTGCTTATTAATATGGTAAAACTGCTAACACTTACCACATCGTGAAAGATGTTAGTGCGCAACAACAGCAAATAAAAAACTCATCTTTCGTTAGGTTTCCGGTCATCTTCTCTTAGTACCACCCTCGAAACTAGTGTGCCATTGAGATTCCGGCGCTCTACTCAGAACGTCATGAGCTCATCAGTGTTGATATGACGGATCAGCTATAATGCATCAGCCCGGCGCGGGTCTATCCGAGGTGCAGACACCTCTCCCTCTGCCGTGGAGAATCTCGTCGTCGGACGTGTCACTGCATCATTGACAGGGCCTCTTCCCGAGCTGGGCCGCGCACATACTGAATAGTGGATATCTCTGCGACCAGTTGAGCCTCAGGTCGACCGCAGTCCACCGGAATACCTCAGAGGAGGCCCATGGCGGCCCAGTACCATGAAATGCTCCCCGCCCAATCACCTCGGAAAACCCGGCGACTCGGATACACCGCCGAAATCAGACCTAGCCTGTGGTTTGTAGATGTAGGGTGAATGATGTTCGAAACATCAGTAGGAATTGATGCAGAACATATCCTAAAAACGTAATAAAACTTGCAGAACAAAATTTGTTCTATTCTTTCTTAGACGGTCGCGAACAGAACAAATTTGAAACCGAGAAGCCATGCTCAGGTGACCAAGCCAAACATGTTCACATGCAACACCAATCACTATAATCACCAGCACTGTCGCAGAGTTTGTTTGACATTGTTACATATGTATGTATCAGATAAGCTGAACTCAATTTATTGCGATTAATGGCGATGCGATACACGACCCTTACATCCCCAGAAACGTTATCCTTTTCTTATATTGTTTCACACATTGATATGACGTAACTTTAAGCCTGAGTGTTCCACGAACTACTCAAATACACCGCATATCTTCTTCGGACTCCATCTGTCTTGTTCTTGTATTACATCCTGTAAAAATGCATCAATTATTTCGGTGAAGTACTATTTTTTATTGCGCTATTGCTCTCAGTCCTTGACAGCCTGTCAGCAATGGCACCAAAGACTAATCGAACATTACTTGTCGTGTAATCAGTTCATCAGTGGCTACCTTCCTAGGCCTTTGAAAATATTAGAGTCCGCATTGAACGCTTATCGGCGTGGTACGCCCTAATTCTTTTTGAATAGATATTGTTCTCAAACTTGAATATGTGCCGTTAGAACTACATCAAAGATAAAACCTTAAAGTGTATCTGATATAATATTTATGAAGCTAGGTCATCACATAACCTATTTACTCGACTGTGACACCGGATGCCTTCTGTTCCAGTGGCATGACCTTCGGCCTGGAGAAGCGCAACTTTGACGAAATCGATCGGTCGGGCTTCAGCGGCTTCGCGAAGCGCAACTTCGACGAAATCGACCGATCTGGCTTCACTGGCTTCGCGAAGCGGCCACAGCAGTCCAGCGTACAAAAGCGCAACTTTGACGAAATCGATCGCAGCGGATTCAGCGGTTTTGTGAAGCGGGAGGCGCCGGCCAAAGAGAAACTGTAGGCTCACACCCCGCCCATTTGTATCCATTCCGCCAAATTTCTTGTTCTGCCATTTGTCGAGCCCTGAACATTTGCAAGATCAAATAACAAGGTCGAGCTCGCTGGGGTCATTGACCGGACACAGCTGGGGTCACTGACCGGGACACAGCTGAGGCCACTGACCGGACACAGCTGGGGTCACTGACCGGACACAGCTGGGGTCACTGACCGGGACACAGCTGAGGTCACTGACCGGTCACAGCTGGGGTCACTGACCGGGACGCAGCGTCCGAGAGGCTGGATGGCTGCGTTCCGTTCCGGTCAGGTCGGACTGACCTGACCCGCAGCGAGCTGACCTGAACCCTGTGCCGGCCAACCGGCCTGCGCTGTCACAGACGTTCGGCGCCGCGACCGTGGCGAGCTATTTCGCGGGGCAATGTGTGATTGTTTCGTGTCGAGACGCTATTCGTTGATAATATAGTCACGATATGACGTGTGTTTTCTGTTGGTTCCATGATAATGAAGCATATGTTTTTTTTTGGGGGGGGGGGAGGGTACACAAGAGCCGAACAGAGCAACAATGATTAAGCACAGAAACTGTACCGGCATTCATAATGCTATGAAAGCAACAAATATATTCAGATCTTCTCCAACTGGTATGATGAAGTTGAACTGGAACGTCCATGTCTATCACAGAACATCGCATCGCTATGGGCAGACAGACAGTGAACGAATGATGGAGAGCATGTTAGCGAATTATCCATATACCTATTTTCTGACAGAGATAGCCGACAACTTTTGTGTTCTGATGACACTCAAAATGACACAAAACGCATCTTACTTGCCTAAAACATGTCAACAAAGGTATCTACAGTTAAATGCGGGCTGCATTCTAATTACCTACTGCAAACGCATACGTCTATCCCATGCTACGAGCACCTCCTCTAATCAGTGTAAATTGAAGACGGTATGCAAATCAGATGCAAGTCAAACATCGCGAATGGGGGCGAAAAAAAAATAGGATACACTTTTAGCCAGAAAGGTTAAATAAAAGACAAATTTAGTTTTGGTGTTGCTGAATATTTCAGGCTTCTTTCGTTTGTAAGAAGCATTCCCTTTTATTCAATGGATCGAAGGATCATTATAAGGATGAAATGACTGAACTCGCCAAAAGTGACAATTGATGGGCGGAATTTTGTCGCCTTTCCGAACGGGCCAATGCCTATTTTAGACGAAGGTAAAAAGCGGTGTGCACTGTCATTGTTACAGTATATTACTCTCTCGGTTTTCTTCCTCTGATCTTACCAGTGATGTTACGTGACGTCACCAGTTAGGTAATATGACGTCAGCAGTGATGTCACAAGACGTCCCAGCCTTCTGTTCGATGGGAGTTCTCCAAAAAGGCGATCCGTCTCTCGGGAAGGTAAATATTGAGCTGCTGTAGCTAGTTGGGCTCGGTTTGATCTGGTATCCGGATCCTTCTAAACCGCCTATTTAACCTGAAGGAAGTGATGCCTAGCACGTTTTCGGTGAGTCAACTTCTCCGCTAGCTTTCCGACTGACCACCGCGGATTTCAAATTAGGCACGCTGTTCACGTTCGCGGAACAGTTGAGAAACATCAGCCGACCCAACACATGAAAGCATTCTGTGAACCTTCCCCAAATCGGATATTTCCCTCTACTCTTCGAACCGTATATGGCGATTTGCGTCCAGCGCTATTTCACAATTAGCTCCACCGCTACCGGCCGGAATAGTGATAAAGCTCTTACGGTTCAAACGCGTTTGCAATGCTGGTCTGCAGCGGCGCGGGAACTTTTTTCTGCCTGGGGCTCACTTACACGCTCTAGTGTCCACTTGGGGGATAGGGTGGCGACTGGCGATTCTATAGATGATCCTAGGGCACCCCGTGGCACAGTTTTTTCTCTGTTAGGCCACTTATCCCCGTCGTTGAATAGAGAAGGTATATACTATGCCAAAATCAACAGCGATATTCCATGTGCAAAAATTCCGTTTCACGAGCTTTGAGCAATCACTATTTTCAAAACTTTGAAAAGAGATGGAATGCCTCTCATCCTACCTCTAAAAATTGTGACCAACTAATCCTGGGTGGTGGTTGAAGCACCCAAACGTCTCCTACGATCTTCTCAGCCTAGAGCTATGAAATGGTCCATTCAATTCGTAGAAGTCCAGTCAAACAACACAAGCCATAAAACAAAGGTAAATATTACAAAAAGTGGGTTATAATACATAGTACGTAAACAGGGCACTTTAGGGCTGGCGAATTTACACTGAATTTACACTTACAGGCGAACACTTACGGCGCCGAGTAAGCTTTGGGGCTCCCTAGACAGTCTGACTGCTCATCGTCAGTCACTAGGGGGGTCTCAAAGGCTCCTGAGGACCTGAAGGGCACTGGATTCACAACATCTGCCTCTGAGGACTACACGTCGGCCTCTGAGTGGCTCCTAGCTGGCTCCTGAAGCAGGGCTGCGGATTCGGAGTCGAAATCGGAGTTGGAGTCGGTCGGAGTCGACAGTTCTGTCCAGAGTTAGAGTCGAAGTCGCCAAAATCTTACCGACTCCGGCTTCGGAGTCGGAGTTAACGCCGCATGGCTCATCGTTATGCACTGCACCTTTTTGATTGACGATACTGCGCTCGAAATTATATTTTGTCAAAAAAGGCAATTTTGCTGTTTTGGACGAACGTTTTCAGCGAAAGAAGGAGAAGAAGGTGATTTCCCTAGAACCTGCTTTTTTAATTATGCATGTTATTTGGAATACATATTTGCAACGCAAAGCCTTGGACGCACAAGGGATCGTTTCAAGCAAGATAAAAACATCTCCATTTTGAACTTCAATGTCATGACATGAATTTTAATAGCACCGTCCGAAGTCAGAGTCGGAGTTGGAGTCGGTATCGGAGTCGATTTTTGAAGCCGGAGTCGGAGTCGGAGTCAGAGTTGGAGTCGGAGTCACCCTAAAACCCATCGACTCCGCAGCCCAGCTGTACTGAAGATCCCATGCCAGCCTCCGATGGCCCTGATAATCTCACGCTGGTTACTGAGGTGTGAGGGACCTAAAGCAGCATATTTATTAGATATCACCATAGGCGTAGGAACAGGGGGGGGGGGGGCAGGTGGGCAAGTGCCCACCCACTTTTCGAGGTGGGGGGGCCAACCATGTGTTTTGGCCCACCCACTTTTTACTCGAGGCCCCTCGTCTCGATTTGAGAGGACGTCGTCACCTTCCAGAATAAACAAACTCGGTAAAAATAAGTTCCACGAATCCCCACGCACGGACTCCAAGGGGCCGTGATGGATCCAAGGAGGCCCTCTGTTCATACTTGTCAGTCGAAGCCCCTGAGACTGATGGCCTGAGAGGCCCTAGTGGATCTGAGGAGGCCCCAATATCCACATTCCACACTGGTCTGGGGAGGCCCCTGACACTGGCGGTCTGGGAGGCCCCTCTATCCACACTAGTCAGAGGTCTGAGACTGGTGGTCTGGGAGGCCCCTCCATCCACACTAGTCAGAATAGGCCCCTGACACTGGCGGTCTAGCCGAGGCCCCCTACCCTCACTAGTCAGAGGAGGCCCCTCTATCCTCAATAGTCAGAAGAGGCCCCTGAGACTGATGGTCTGGGAGGCCTATCCATCTACACTGTAGTCAGAGGAGGCCCCTGAGACTGATGACCTGAGTGACCCTTATAATCTCACCAGGCAGAAGAGGCCCATGAGACTGAACGACTGAGAGGCCCTTCTATTCATACTGGCCGCAGGAAACCCCCAAAACTTTCGGTCTGGGAGGTCCTCAATCCGGCACCAGTCAGAAGAGTCCCCTGAGACTGATGGCCTGGGAAGCCCTTATATTCACACTAGGCAGAGGAGGCCCCTGAGACTGATGGTATGAGAGGCCCTCATATTCACACCAGTCAGAAGAGGCCCCCGAGGCTGCTGGCTGTGAGGCCCTTCTGTTCATATAACTGGCCACTGGAGGCCCCTGAAACCGGTGGTCTGGGAGGGCCCTCTATTCACACTAGTCAGAAGAGGCCCCTGAGACCGATGGTCTGAGAGGCTCTTATATTCATACTGGCCACAAGAGGCCCCTGAGACTGATAGTCAGAGAGGTCCACTCCTAATGAATCTGAGGGGGTCCTCTATCCACATTTACACTTTCCTAGGGAGGCCCCCGAGACTGATGGTCTGAGAGGTCCTTTTATTTATACTGTCCACAGGAGCCCCCTGAGATTAATGGTCTGAGAGGCTCTTCTATTTATACTAACCAGAGGAGGCCCCTAGGATTAATGGTCTAACAGGCCCTTCTATTTATACTAGCCAGAGGAGGCCCATGAGACTGATGGTCTTAGAGGCCCTTCTATTGAAACTAGGCAGATGAGGCCCCTGAGAATGATAGTCCGAAGAGCCATGCGGCGGCAACTGGCCGTGGCCATATTTCGGCTCGGTAGGGCCCCACAGAGCTCATGAGAGCACGTCAAGGGCTCCTAAGTAGACACGCTTATCCCCATAAGGGTGCCACGCCGGCTTCTGAAGGCTCCTTGTAGGCATCTAAGGGCCCTTTCCGGCCTCTAACGGCTCCACCCGCCTGTGATGGTTCCACACCAGTGTTTATGAGCGCCACACAGCGGCGCCTTTGAGGGTCATACTAGTGTCTCTTAGGGCCCTATATCGGTGGCTCTGGGGGCCCCACACCGGCGCCTCTGTGGGCCACCACACCTGTGCATCTCAAGGCTCTATAGGTACATCTGAAGGACCCACACCGACACCTCTGAGGGCCCCACACCAGTATCTCGGAGCTCTGAAGGCCCCACACCGGTGACTCTGAGGACTCACCGGCTCCTGAGAGCACCATGTTGATGTCTAACGGCTCCACAAGGCCACTGAAGGCACCACACAAGCTCTCACTGAGCTCTAATGTCCATGTACCGGCCTCTCAGGGATTTAAGCCAGCACATTCATAGCTCCACACAAGCAATTGTAAGGGCTTCACACTGAAGTATCTGAGGGTTCCACACCGGTGTCTCTAAGGGCCACATACCGGCATCTCTGAGGGCCCCATACCAGCGTCTCCGAGGGTCCACATCTGGCGGGCACCCATCAGCGACTGAATGTCCCACACTGTCGACTCCGAGAGCCCCATCTGCGTCTGGGAGCACCATGCCGTCTCTAAGAACCACAGCGGCTCCTCCGTACGAAAGATGGGCGTCTGCATGCCAAAGGGGAGCGGTTCTGAGACAGTAGGGCACCTACGTGCAATAGAGGGGCGCCTATGAAGCCCATAGGGGCGCCTCAATGCGAAAGAGGGGCGCCTCTAAGGCCTACATATATGGGCGTCCACATGCAATAGAGGTCTGCAAATTGCAATTGATCAATGCCATGGGGGTGCATTCATAAGAAACAGGGGCGCCGGCATGGCAAAGAGAGGCGACTTCAAGTGTCCATAAAAGAGAGACGCCTATGATAAGCGCACATTGTATGC